AATCTATATATTAAAAAAAAAAAATCTCCATAACATATAACATAATTTTTATTTTTATTTTTTAAACAGCAGGTAGTTTTGAAGAATCAAATCATTACATCTCTCCAGTGTTGCTCTCAACTGAAGACACAGTAGTTGATCTGGTCCCTCAGAAAACTCCAGGCATTGGTTAAGACACGGAAAAAGACTTTTGTAGAAAAATCTCTTCAAATGAAAAATGCCAACACAATGAATATAGAATACATGGAGACAGATTCATTTTTTAAATAAACTGCTTCTCATTTGCAAATGAATCGTTAACCAGTGAGTAGAAAATACTACAGTTAAACCTTCTTTTTTGAAACATGGTATGACCAAATTTTCTAAAATACATTTCGATTTTTATTCAATTTGATCCTAAATGAGTGACTAAGACCACGAACTCCACAGGATTGTGTTTTCCGTTGCCGTTTGCCCACAGACTCATAGTACTGAAAGCCTTTACGCAGCCACAGATATTGCATTGTAGCGGCCCTTCACATAGGATGCAGGTTTAAGGCACTTTCACATTGGCTTCATCTTTATAAACAGACAGCTACACTGTTGTTTTGTATTGTATGGTTGTACCATTCAGATCAGTGAGCATATGTGAAAATATGTGACCCTCAAAATTTAAAAAAGTAGTCCCTGGAGTATTTGTTAAAAGCATTTTATGCTTATTTTTTAACTAAAACTACCTGTTAGTCGTTTCCCACAAAATGTGTCATGCTGTGACTCATCACAGTCTGAGTTATGAAGTATTAGCACAGGTCACTGCAGTGAAGTGTCAGATGGACCACTGCAGTATCCCTTTTTACCTCAAGATGAAACCGTCATTTGATTTTAATGAATAGTAGGAAGAAATCACATATTATTATGTATTATGTTGTTTGTGGTTTTGTTTTTCCCCTTTTTCTTGATGTACTCACCTTTAGTTTATTTAAAAAAGCAAGAAAGTCAGTAAATGTGAAAAATGAGTGAAGAACAATATATTTCATCCAGTGCTGCTAGAAGTTATACGTCATAAAAATATAAACTATTAAGAGGAACAAAAAGAAAAATTTAAACTGTAAAATTTAAAAAATGTTTATTGTTGTTATTCTTCACTTTTAGGATTTCTTTTTTCTTTTATATTTTTTTTAGTGTTTTTTGTTCATTTGTTTGTTTATTACAAGATTTTTTTTATTACAGGGCCCATTGATATTGGACGAAATATTATAAAGCTTCTTTCAAAATGTACTTGTTGCTTTAAATTAGAATTAGACAAACATAACTTTTAGGGTCTTCTCAATAGTTTCATAGTTTCAATGGCAGTGCATTTAATTGAATGTCATGACCCAAATGAAACATTAGCATTTCAAAGACGGAAAATAACATTACCAGTATTCTTGATTGAGAGTGAGATATTTTTCTTGAACCAAAAAAGTAGTGATTACACAAACAAGCAATGTGTTTTACATAAAGACCTTGCTGATCTCATGGTTCTCAGGCCTTTAGATGTAGTTTTTAAGCTGCCTTTAGGATTTATGTAGCGTATCAGGAAACAAGTTAACAGTAACTGAATAGTAGTATAAACAGTTGATTACTTACTATACTCTGCCACAAGAGTGGCACAAATACAAATATTCAATAAAGTTGTTGGTTTTTTGATTATTTGCGCACATTTAATGAAAAACAAAGAAAAAAGACTTTGGGATTGTACCAACTTGTTCTTTCTATAATTTCTATAATTTTTTATATTAATCTTGTTTGTTTTTTAATCCTGTTGTCTACTATTTATATTTGTTCCCGGCACAGTTGGTATGGAGCACCTGTAATTTTGTTGTACATGTACAATGACAATAAAGGACTATTCTATTCCATTCTGTTCTTTTCTATTCCTGTTTCTACAGCAAAGTAAAAAGGTATGTAGCAGCCATGTGCTGCTAATGCACTTGATTAACTGTTCATCAGCATGTGTGACCACCTATATAAAAGCACAGGTTTTGGCAGTTTGCTGGTCTGGAGCACTCAGGTGTCAGTGTTATAGAAAGGCATACTCTTCCCTGGAGTGTATGTCAAAGCAAATTCACCCTAAGGTCAAACCATGAAGTGCTGAGAGACATTGCAAAAACCCAAGAGCTACATCTCAGACTCTACAGGCCTCAGTTAGCATATTAAATGTTAAAGTTCATAATTGTACGATTATGAAAGTAGAATGTGAGCAAACAGCCAGATTTTTGGAACAGTGTTCTTTGGAACAATGACTCTAACGCACAGTGCCACATTTGGAGAAAACCAAACTCAGTATATCAGCACAAACACCTCATACCGACTGTCAAATATTAAATAGCAGTGGAGCTTTGTTGACCTGAGTTTGTTTTTCAGTCACAGGATCTGAGGACCTTGCAGTCATTGATTTGATCATGAACTCATCTATATACAAAGTTAATGCAAAGTTAATGTGAGGCCATCTGTCTGACAGCTAAAGCTTGGCTGAAACTGGGCCCTGCAACAAGAGAAAGATGTCAGGCATACCAACAGCAGCAGAACGGCTGGAAAAAAAAGTAATCAAGCTGTTACGGTGATCTAGTCTAAGTCTAGAGAAGAACAGTTCACCAACATTCTGCCACAAAAAGTGTTAAAGTAATACAGAATATGAGAGCTTTAACTTATTGCTGCCCAAGGTGGTTCCACAAGGTGTTAAATCAAGACCTATACTTACTTTTTGAAACCACTGCATAGTGTTCAGTGGAACAAATGCTATGCAGTGCTATGACTATGTTCCACCAACTTACCGACTCAGTCATTAATTTTGCTCAACTTCCAGCCTATGACTGGGCTAGACTGAGGGGGAGGGGGGGTAGGTTTTCCTGTGGTTTTCCTCTCAATTCACACAGAAAAAAAACTCAACGTGAAAAACATGTCACTACAAACCACATGCGAACATTTAGTCTGCTTATTGGTCAGATGTGTCTGGGGCTGGAGCAACAGATGCAAATACAGAAAGAAGGTGCTCTCTTCTAGCCTAGTCAATAGCATTGAGAATTTAAATTACTTGTATAGCTAGTTGCTATCCCACACTAACCATTTGGGTACTCTAAACATGAATGGTATTTTGCCACATCACAAAGGATACCTGACTAGAGGACGATGTTTCCAACCTTGTTCACTCTAACTTCAGACTCCAAATAACTGAAAAGGCTACAGACTAAATACTAAGCTCCATACTTATTTTAGAGAAGATTATTATTCCTTCGGGGTATATCTGTGGAGTCCCAACTAACATACATGCTTCACTGACTCTCAGTGGCACTAGCTGCCAGATGAAGCTGCTCCAAAGTCACATGTCTGATAAGAAAAACAGAAAAGAACCTTTACAGAGAAAAAAAAAGTGACCATAGTGACCACTACCAGTCAAAGGTTTGGACGCACCTTCTTATTTGATGGTTTTCTTTATTTTCATGACAATTTGCATTGCAGATTCTCACTGAATCCATCAAATATATGAATAAAAATATATGGAATTATGAAGCGCATATATGTAACTAAATATCTTGATGCATGCTCAATCATCCAGGTAAGAAAATCTCCAAAAGTTGATTCTGTTCATCTGGGCGTAGTGTTTTGTGGGAGAAACGTTTCGTCACTCATCCAAGTGACTTCTTCAGTCTCAGGTGACTACAGGTTTCCCCAACCTTATAAACAATAGGCTGGGAGGTCAGTTCCTTAATCTTAATTATGCTAATTCTCATGACCATTGATCAACAACCACTGACCAAAGCCCACTGATCAAAGACCGGCTGCAATCACAGCATTGTAAGATGGTGAAAGATGTACCCTCTGTAAAGGGAAAAGGGAAAGCCCATCTCTGAGCCGAGGAGGGGGAACGCTAGTGTTACAGGAGGCCGGGATCCACACCAGCCACATCCAGCTGCTCACACGGACCATGACAGATGGGCTTTGTCAAGGTTCCTTTGTGGGTTTGCTCAAATAGATCCTAGGAAGCCACTACTAAGGAAAAGCAACAAGCAGAAGAGATTTGTTTGGGCCAAGAAACATGAGGATTGGACATTAGAGCGGAGAAAATCTGTGCTTTGGTCTGATTAGTCTAAATTTGAAATCTGTGGTTCCAGCCACCGTGTTTTTGTACGACGCAGAAACATGCATGAGGAGGAGGCGTGATGGGGTGCTTTGATGGTGACACTGTTGGGGATTGATTAATTTATTAAAAATTGAAGGCACACTGAACCAGCATGGCTACCACAGCATCCTGCAGCAACACGACATCCCATCTGGTTTGCCTTCAGTTCGACCATCATTTATTTTTCAACAGGCAATGACCCCAAACACACCTCCGGGCTGTCTAAGGGGTATTTGACCAAGAAGGAGAGTGATGGAGATCTGCATCAGATGACTTGGCCTCCACAGTTACCTGACCTAAACCCAATCGAGATGGTTTGGGATCTGATGAACCACAGAGTGAAGGCAAAAGGGCCAACAAATATTCAGCATCTCTGGGAACTCCTACAAAACTGTTGGAAAACCATTTCAGCTGACTCATTGAAGCTCATCGAGAGAATGCCAAGAGTGTGCAAAGCAGTAATCGAATAAAAGAGTAGCTATTTTGAAGAATCTAAAATATAAATATATGTTTTGAGTTATTTGTTTACTACATAATGCCATATGAGTCTACAATGTAAATAGCTATGAAAAGAAAGAAAAACCATTAAATGAGATGGTGTGTCCAAACTTTTGACTGGTAGTGTAGTTCTTGTAAAGGACTTGTTCTTTCAACATGAATAATGTCCTCTTCCAACTGTTTCACACTAGTCCATGTATTGACACCTGCACCCACTGATGACTTGCACTGTGCCACACAGATCACGAGATTTACTTGTAAATCGGATCACTGGCTTTGAAATGAATGCATCCTCAACTCATGCGTGCGACCGCTTTTCATGACACATGAATTTCCATTTGTCAGACCACTTCCTCTGAGCTTACATAAAGGCGACTTTGTGCACCATAGTGTGTTTCAGTCTATTCAGATCAAAGCGAAAGAAGAAGAAATGCTCTGCCTCAGGGGTTTCAGTGTTTTCCTCTCATGTATTGTCCTTCTCATTGTTCAGTCAAGTGAGTTATTTCATCTGTTGTGCATTTGTTTATTTAATACTAATGAATTAATTGATGTAAATATGCCTAAGTCATGGTAATGTTTTTCTGCTTGTTTCTTATGCTTTGTTTAGTGTTGTGCATGTAGATTGTGTGATCTGAATGTCTTTTAGTTTTACAAAGGAAGGTGTGAAGAGAATTTATCTGTTCATCTCAATGACCTCTTTGAATATTTGTCACTTTAGGTCGTGGTTCTGAGATCATTGGAGGTAATGAAGTGCAGCCACACTCGCTGCCTTACATGGCTCTGCTGGAGACTGACAAACCGATATGTGGAGGGGTACTAATTGATCAAGCATGGGTCCTGACTGCTGCACACTGTCCTAGGTAGGAATCTTTCCCCAAATTGCAATCTTAATTTTTGTTGGATCTTGCAAAGATGTTGCCCTATGATTATTCAAAATGTCATGCTAGTCAGTAACATTTCCTCTTTATGATGCTCCACTCAGCATTCATTATAGCAGCTATAATTTGGCAGATAGTGACTAAAGAAACCACAAGAGCTCAGGGGTTTGAACACTTCTTTACAAGGAACAAGTGCTGCTCTGCATCACTGTTACCATATTTGGCACTTTCTTAGTCAGTAAACCTATTCCATAACTGAACTGTAATTTAACACTGCACCGTTTTTGCTCTTACAGCATTAAGAAGGTGTTGCTGGGGGTGCACTCCATCAAAGCAGATGAAAAAGATTTCCGACAGGTCCGAAAGGTGAAAAAAAGTTTGCCTCATCCCTGCTATGATGGCACGGACAAGGTCAATGACCTCATGTTACTCAAGGTAATGTGACTACAAAAAAATGGAAAAGTGATCCAAGATTGCTGATAATTATATTATATAGAGGAATTTATAGAAAATTTGTTTTTGTTGAGTTTTCTCTAAGTCAGAATTTTACATATAAGCTCAAATATATACATGCACTCTCTCAAATATGATAAATGTGTGTGTTTTGTTGTTTGTTTTTACTAATTCTATAAAAGCAAAGATGAACCCATTATGGTTAAATAAGTGTTATTTAAATTTCAGCTGGACAAGAAAGTGAAAAAAACCAAAGCTGTAAACTGGCTCACGCTGCCCAAAACCAGTAAGGAGCCAAAAGCTGGCAGCGTCTGTGTGGTGGCTGGATGGGGAACTACTAAAAACAATGTCAATCGAATGTCAGATGTCCTGAGGTCTGTCAATGTTACAGTGATTGACAGAGTGAAGTGCAACTCAGCTGATTATTACAGCCTCAATCCTGTTATCACCAGCAGCATGATATGTGCTGGTTCGAATGGTAGAAACGCAGCTGATACCTGTCAGGTATGTCCGCCTCACCGTCCACTTCGCTACTTGAACCGTAAACGAGTCGAAAAATAAATGAAAAAATGAACCTCATATTATTGCTCTCTTTGCAGGGGGATTCAGGAGGACCTCTCATGTGCAATGGTGTGCTAGCTGGAATCACTTCCTTTGGACGGATGTGTGGTCTCATTAAAAAACCCGGAGTTTACTCTTTTCTGTCAGAAAAACAACTCAAGTGGATCAAAGATACAATGAAAGGATCTAAAATAGAATGAGTTCTCTGAATCATTCCTGCTTCCATCTTTAAATTAAAGAGGGATACTAAGTTCAGTTGTGTTATTTTGCCACCACGAGTCTACATTTATATCTGTCTATATTTATGATTTTAGGGATGATGTTAAAGCTGAGTGTTACTGAATGTTTGTTGTAAATCAGTGGTTGTCAACCTGTAGAAATATGGTGTGAAATTCAGTTGACTGATAGAAGTGTACTTTTCTGTAATGTACTTTTGTTTTGCATTAGTAACCAATGGTCTGGGTTACTAAATGTAGAAAAAGCAAGTACACCAAGAATCAGATGCCATATTGAGATAAGAGTGTCTAGATAAATGTCTTGCAAAGACAAAGTTATTGCATTCAGTATGAAAGATGTCCTGTTTATGTACTTTATGGTTAAATGTTTTTTTAAAATGTATTTCTGTTTTTATATTACTGTGAAGCACAATGTGGTTTTTACCCTGTGAAGAGTGCTATATAAATAAATTAAATTGAATTGAATGATGGTGGTTAGGATTATCCATGATGCATTATAATTTGTTTAGTGACCTGACCTCAGTTTGCAGCCACTTTGAGCTACTACAACTTAATACACAGTAAAAAAAAAAAACACAAAATCAAAAGTTGAAATGAAGCTGAAAATGATGAATATTTCACAATCACGAATTGAAAAAGTTAACAGTAAATATATGTTAACTTTTTTTATTATAACCATACTTCTTGTCTGTCAGCGGTTAAATATATATATTAATTTAACAAGACCCAGAACAACACCTTCAGTTAGAGTCTACTCTTTTTTGTCAGAAAAACAACTCAACTGAATCATGAATAAATTAAGCAAACTGAAATTTCATGACTCCAGAGGCATCAACATGCTAAACAAGATGGAAATCTTTGACGTCTTGTTGTCATAGCGGTCTCTGTCGGGTCCTCTATCAGAGGCCTGGGAGCTTGAGGGTCCTACGCTGTATCATAGCTGTTCCTAGGACTGCGCTCTTCTGGACAGATATCTCCGATGTTGTTCCTGGGATCTGCTGTAGCCACACGCCTAGCTTAAGAGTCACCGCACCTAGTGCTCTGATTAATACTGGGACCACTGTTACCTTCTCCCTCCACATCTTCTGCAGCTCTCCTCTGAGCCCTTGATACTTCTCAAGCTTCTCGCGTTTCTTCTTATACGCACATGTGATCGTAGTTCTGCTGTGGTTAGACATTTCCACTGCAGGAACTGAAGTCAGATGAGTCAAATATTTGCAAGATAACTGCCTTTGTGGCCATTCTGTTTACCAAAAATGGACACAGCCACTGTGATAGGTGATGGATTACAATTTAATATTTTAGATGCTCTCACTGCAGATTGCACATATAGGTTGACATGTTAGCTTTGAGACATGAAAAGCCAGACCTATATTCTTTCTCTTGGCCAACAGAGAATTACTCCTTTGAAAAAAACAAGCAAACAAACAATCAGCTAGTTCCTGCAGTGGAAAATGACGTATTTACTCCTTTTCCCCTCATTTTTTCTTTTTTGTGAACAAAGACATTTGTTAATTGTTATTGTTAATTGTAAATTGTTAATTTTCTCTTTTTCCAAATTACATAAAATACCAAGAGAAATATAAGTGCTCCTGTTTGCTTTGGTCAATCACATTTGCTGGAAACACATGAGATAAAACACATTTTTTGTGGACACACAAACCCCATGAAAGTAAAACAACAAAGTGAGATTATTCAACCTGTCAGCCAGAAAGATTCACCACTTCCCGTATTACAAGCCTTAAAAATGAGAGGGCTGTGAACAACTTTTTCTTGCACATACTGTCTTGGTTGTTGACTTCTCATTCTGAGTAGTATTAATTACAGTAATGTCAACATAGAAAACATCCACTTTATGACTATACATTCAATTAAGTAATTAATTATTAATAATTTGAAAATAATCAGTTCCTTCTTTTTTTGGGCACTACCTTTGAGATGTTTCCTTCAGGATGTATCTGTGGACTGTCTGCTGACAGACATGCCTCATTGTCTCTTACTGGCACTAGTTGACAGGTGAAGCTGCTTCAAAGCTACATGTCTGATAAGGAAATACACCAGCTGTAAAGTTATTGTAAAGTGCTTTTTCTTTTAACATCAATACACTCTTCTAGCTTTTTTCATACAAGTAGATTTATGGACACGTACACTCAAGGATGACTCATAGTACACCAGACAGAACAAACCTCAGCAACGACATAGAAAAAAGACATGGTTATGAATACTTGTAAATGCTACCACTATCTTTGAAACAAATGCATTCCCACGCCTTGCTTGAGTCCATTATGCTGAATTTTCAGACCACTTCCTTTGGGCTTAATACATAAAGACGAGTGTGCACCAGAGTGTGTTTTAGTCAAAGCCAAATAAGAAGAAATGTACTGCCCCGGATTTTTCAGTGTCTTGATCGCATGTCTCGTTCTTCTCATTGTTCAGTCAAGTGAGTAATTTCTTCTGCTTTTGATTTATTTAGTGGCTAATTAATGTACATATGTCTAAGTCATATTAATGTTTTTCAGCAAATTTGTTATGGTTTCTTAGTTGGAGTGTAATTTCACTTTTTCTGATCACTCCTACATGAATTTTAAAGGTTTCATAAATGTTAGAATTTGTATTTGGATGTGCTTCAGGTATTTTGTGTATAGATTCTGTGACCTGTGTCACATAGATGTCTTATAGGCTTACAAAGTAAGTTGTGCAGAGAGTTTTCTGTCTTTGGTTTAAGTGCTTGTCGACTCATTTGTCTTAGTGATCTCTTTGAATATTTGTCATTTTAGGTGATGGTTCTGAGATTATTGGAGGCAATGAAGTCAAGCCACACTCACTGCCTTTCATGGCTCTGCTTGAGGGTAACAAGGGCAATTGTGGAGGGATACTAATTGATGAAGCATGGGTCCTGACTGCTGCTCACTGTGATAAGTAGGAATCAGAAGCATTTGTTTATGTTTGTACTGGATCACAAAAAAATCCATTTCATCATGGGTATTTCAAATATCATGCAAGTCAACATGTTTAAGCTTCATGATACTCCAGTCAGCTACATGCCACATCCTGACCTTAGTATTTTTTATCATGTAACCACTCAGTAATCAGAGAGAAAGCAAATCTTCATTTCTTCTGTATTTGACACTTTCTTGGCCAGTAAACCTATGCCATAATTGAACTTTAATTTAACACTGCATTGTTTTGGCTCTTTTAGAATTAAGAACGTGTTGCTGGGAGTGCACTCCATCAGTAGAGATAAAAAAAAGCAGATCCAAAAGGTGAAAATACGTTTTCCTCATCCCTGTTTTGATGCAAAAGACGGGGTCAATGACCTCATGTTACTCAAGGTAAGGTGACTATAACAGAATGAAAAAACAATCCATAGCGATTTCTATAAAATTTATGTTTGCTAACATTACATAATACATATTATGCAAGAAGAGCAAATGTTTAATCAAAATAAACACAACTGCAAAGCCAGGCTGTCACTTATGATTATTTAACTTCAGATGTAAAATAAGGCCTTTCTCATCTTCCCATCTGTTCAAAATTCAACAGCTCAAATTCCACCTGAGACCAGAAAGAGAAAGATGCTTTTCTGCAAAATTTACATAATTTTTCTTTTTTCATTTAATGTTTGTATGACAGAGCATCAGGGCCGCATTAAGAACAAAAGTATTACTAATCATTTTGAGAATAAAGTGGAAATTTCAAGATAATCTTTAAATCTTGAAACTGTTTTTCAAGAAAAGAGTGGGAAAGTGGAGATTACAGTTGTTGTGTCAAGGCACATTGCCACATTTGTCATGCCCTCTTGGAAGAGTGGATTTTGTATAGGATATAACAGTAAGTGTAAGCTGCACAATCCTGAAAATTTCTGGTATTTTGAATTTTTTGTTCAAAATAGAATTACGACTTTAGTCTCTCAATTTTGATTGTGATTAAATACTGACTTCATGTTGAGTCGGCTTAAGTAGTTTCATTTAAAATAAATGTGTTTTTTTAATTGTTTTTATTTTATCTTATTTATTTATTGTAAAAATTCTATTAAGGCAATGATGAATTCACTATGCTTAAGTAATTATATCTTAAATTTTAGCTTAACAAGAAAGTGA